GGAGGCGCAAACAGAAATGAGAAGAAGAAAACAGATCCGCTTTTTTTTTATAAGAGCAAGAGCTGTTGATTCAGATGTATCAGTTGCCATTTACATAGTCTGACTTTATATCTGACTTTCCTGAAGTCACTTAATATAAAAAGGCAAAGAAACATTTTTTTGGACCCATTTTTTGCTTGGTCTAGTTGACTTGGTCCAGCTGAACTCATAGAAATAATTACCTGCCCTGAGGTAGTGGTTAACAGCACAGGTTTCTGAATCCCATCACTATTTGTCAGCTCTGTGACCTTGGGTAAGTTACAAAATGTCTCTGAGGATGTGTCTTTACCTGTAAAATGGGAATTAAATGAGGTAATGTGTGCAAAGCGCTTAACACAGGGCCCAGCATATAACAAGCAGTAGGCAGGGATCGTTCTTAAAGCTTTTAGGATTTGGGAGCTGAAGGAGACTCTATTCATCTAGGCCAAGTTCTAGTTGTGGCTGAAGATATTAAGACCCTCAGAGGTGAAGTGATGGGACCATTTGGGACCAGAAACCATGGCTCGTGTTTTGCCCACCTTTGTCCCCCTCCCCCTCCTCCTCCTACAAACCCCCCAGTTCATGCAGAGCTCTCAGGCATACACCATCAGATCTTGGCTTTGGAAGGCACCAACCCAGGCACCATGACCCTTCCCGGATTCCTTTTACTGTCCCTCTATTTCTGTCCCTCCAGCTCTGCCCTGAGAATTCAGCTGGAGGGAGAGGGGGCTGATTCCGGGGAGGAGCAGCGTGCTGAGGGTGGCTCTGTCTGTTGCTCTGGATCCAGCTGGGGTGGGTGGTGACCGCAGGTGGGCCTTAGCATGTTTGGGGGAAGGTACCCCTTCCTCCGCTCAACCTCTACAGCTGCTGGCCCAGGAGAGGGGCTCAGGAATGTTTTCTTGATCATCGTCCTCTTTTGAGAAGAAGCATCCCTATTCCCTGAGACATCCCAAGAAAGGCTTGAGCTCTGAGAATCAAGGATCCAAAAAGGGTTGTTTCTGTTTCTAAGTGGGGGATAAGATGTCGAGGGGCGAGCACTAGACCCAGAAAAGACAAAAAGAGTGTGTCAGACCCCGCCACAACCACACCGGCCCTTGATAACTCCTCTTAACCGAAGCTGAATCAATTGTGGACATCTTGAGCACAAACGGAGGAACTCTGAAGCCCAGGAAATGAAGACAGCCTTGGGAACCATATGAGAGGAAGCCATTTGTAAACCTGGGCTTAGGGCATCTGGGGTGTAAATCTGTGCCTCCTAGGACAGGACCGGGCTGGGGCAGTGATCACTGAGGCCCCACGCACACCCATCCCAATTCTGTGAACCGGATGGGCGATAGAGCGAGGGGAAAGGAATAGAACTGAATTACTACTACTGCGTGAGACCTCTGCGGAGAAGCAAAGTACAGGGAAAGCAGTGGAAGTCCCCAGGCGAAAAAAAGAAAGCAAATTCCTAGAAGCCAGAGGGTCAGTTCAAAGAAGAAATGCCCTTCTAACTCCACAGTACCCTTCTGCTTCCTACCCCACGTCATCACTGTGAGTAACGCTAAGCGAGAGGCAGGCTGGGGGCGGGGGCGCTGAGGCCCTCTCCGTTCCAGAGCCTCGACTCTGAAATCAGTCCCATCAATTCCCTAACCCTTTCTATTCGCAGCTAGGGCAGGCTGCTGGGGAAACAGAAACCTGGAGCCTGTGGGTGGGTCTCATTATTTTTAGGTTGATCCCTATGAAATTGTTTTTATATGACCACTTTAGCCTACAAAAACAGCTCTTTCACATCAACTCACTATCATTTAAAGGAATCATAATAGCTACCATTAATCGACCAACTAGATCATGCCAGAAGCTTTCTGCATATCACATTGTTTATTCTTCCCCACAGCCCAGAGGTAGATATTATTATCTGATTGCAGATGAAGGAAATGAGTTAGGAAAAGCTTAGAAAAATTGCCCAAGACCACTCAGTTAGCAAGTGGTGGAGCTTGGTTCCTTTTCTTGAATGCCTTTGCTTACCTGCAGCGTAGGGGTTAAAAATATACTCTGGACTCTGACATACAAAGGATTGACTCTTTGGTCCACTGATAAATACCTGTATGACCTCAGGTATGGTTTCCACACTCTAATCAGTTTTATCAGGGGTAAACTGGGATAACAATAAAAGGTACGTCATAGAGTTGTTGCCAAGACTAAATAAAATAACATCTGTAAAACTCCGTGATGCTGTGCCGGGAACCAGGGCAGGGCTTAAATGGTAGCTATTGTCATAATTCTTTTCTTTCTCTTGCGCACATCATGGAAAGGGCTTCTTGCTCCTGCTCTTTTCCTTTTGTCCTTTTTTGGAGTGAAGCCTTTTCTCTGTAGCTTCTTCCAGACCATCTCCTCTCTTCTGTTTGAGTACATCCTGAGGAGCAGTGCAAAATGGAGAGGCGATGGGAAAACAGTCTCTGGCCTCTAGCCCTGGGTGGAGGGAGGCTGCGTCGCTGAGGGGTAAGCCCCATCCTCACCCTAACTCCAGCTTTGAGCTCTGGTGTGATTCTACTTAGGGAAGGGACTGGCCTGCTGATTCTTCTGAACCCTCTCCCAGGGAATCCTGGACTCAGAAGGGACCCTTCTGAGCTGGAGGCACCCTGTGAGGACGGGGGAAAGGCAGCCACATCCAGGAGTCCCAGCTGTGGTTTACTGTGCTCCTCCAAACCCACCCTCCGGTCAGCTGGGCAGCTCCCCTAACTCGGCTGCTGGCAAGGGGCCTTCGCTCACTCAGGGCTACCCGGCTGTCTTGTATCCCATCTACCGTGCACTTCTCTTTCCTGAATTGGGAACACAACTGTGTCCACCTGACCCTGAACCTTCCTTTTTGCCTGCCGCTGCCCAGAAGACACACACACACACACACACACACACACACACACACACACACACACAGGCCCTGCCTTAGCCCTTCTCTGCACTTTCCACTCCCGCGTCGCCCTCGTCTCAATCCCCCAACACTCTCCTCCTACCCCACCCTCGGGGGGCCTCGGCCCGGTCACCCCACAAGGACGCCCCCCCCCACCCCCCAGGAGAGCGCCTGCTCCAAGCCGGACGACGACATTCTAGACATCCCGCTGGACGATCCGGGTGCCAACGCGGCCGCTGCCAAAATCCAGGCGAGTTTCCGGGGCCACATGGCGCGGAAGAAGATAAAGAGCGGAGAGCGCGGCCGGAAGGGCCCGGGCCCCGGGGGTCCTGGCGGAGCTGGGGGCGCCCGGGGAGGCGCGGGCGGCGGCCCCAGCGGAGACTAGGCCAGGTGAGGCGGGCCACAGGCTCTCCTTCCCGACCCCGGACCCCCTCCTCCGAAGGAGCAAGGAAGACTAAGGGCGGCTGGAGGGTGGAGAGGGGTGTGGAAGGATGGGGACCTAGAAATCTGAGACGTGCGGGGGGTGGGAGGAGGCTGAGGACGACGCCGCGGGTTGGAGCGCTCACCTGTTTCTCTCTCTCCACCCGGCCTGCTGCCCCGCCCCGGACCAAAGAACTGAGCATTTTCGAAGGTAATGAATACGACTCCGAAGCAGCGGGGTGGGACCCCTGAGTGGGAGGAAAGGACCAAATCCCCAGCCCTTCCCTCCGCCCGCCCTCACCTCCTCCCAGCCAGGGAAAATGCACCTGCGCCTGCAGGCTTTCTGACACTTGGAGACGCCTGAGACTGCGACGGGGACGCACCTGGACCGACACAGATACCCAGTCACCCGCGTTTGACCAGCCCGGCCGGGGGCCATAAACACCCAGCGTCTCACACGTACCGGCCGCGGGCTCATTTCAGCTCAGTGACTCCGGGTGGGCAGTTCCGGGTGACCGGGGCACCCTGGTGCTCCCCGCCCTGGTTCCTGGTTCAGGAAGGAGAGGGGAGAGGAAGTACTGGGAGAGGGCAGGTGCTCAGACCTTCTCTCTCCTCAGTTCCCGAAGAGAGATGGATGCCACGTCCCCTTCGCAGTGACGAGACTTCCCTGCCGTGTTTGTGATCCTCTCCTTCCCACCAACCTGCCAGCTTCAGGAGCCCTCTCTGCGTCCTCAGAGACTCCCTCACCGAGGCAGACTCCGTCGAGGACTCACCAAGGCCGTGCCCTTTTAGTTAGTTCTCCAGTCTAGTATGGTCCCCATTTGCCCTCCCTTCGACCCTAACCCCAATCTCCGCGCTCCCAAATCTTCCTTCTTTAGCTTCTCGCCCACCTCTCCCCGCACCCAGCATGCTGCTCTGCCTCCGCAGCCTCGGTGCGCTTCCCTTCGCGCTCTGCGGAGGGCGCCCTAACCGTTGCCCAAAAACACTCCAAAAAAAAGTCCTTTCGATCTCTGCGCAGCTAAAGGGGGCGCCGTGCCTCTCTGCGCTGTTCACGTCCCAGCTTAGTCCCAGAACTTTGGATAGGGGAGGAGGGTTTTTATGGTGTCGGATACCCCTTGCTGTGATCGGAAGTCCCCATTTCACACCCCAACCCCACACCTGCCTGTAATCTGCCCTCCCCTCTCCCCAGCGCACCCCGAGAGTCGCCTCTCCAGCTCTCTGCTTGTTTCTGCAAAGGCCGAGTGTGGGGGAGGCTCGGTAGGAGGAGTCTTCCGCGGCCCCGCCCCTGCTCCTGCTGGCCCCGCCCCCACGGGCTCCTGGGGCTGTGGCCGGGAGGGTTTTTATCTCCGTGTGTGCATGTGACCGTGCTGGGTTGGAATGTGAACAATAAAGAGGAATGTCCAAGTGTTCAGAGGGTGCCGGGGGGGAGGGAGTTTGGGTGCACAAGGCCACCGTTCGAAATTTTGAACAATCTCCTTTGACCGAACCAAAAAGTGGAGGTGGAGAGGGGGAAGGGAGGAGAGGAACCTAGGTTAGAACGTACCTTCGGAACCAACCAGACTTCCTGCCTACAGCATCCCTTCTGGGACTTCAAGCCCGCTCCTTCCCTTACCGGTAACACCCTCTGGGCCGCCTAGAGGAATTTGCTATACCGGCAGAAAGAAGGAGACAATATGGTACCCAAAGGCTTTACTTCTTGATATTCCCCCCTCAGGGATCGGGAGAGAAATCAGACAAGCATAGGGAGCTTAGACTTGGTGGTCGTCACAGTGCTGGCAGACGAGGGCCTCTCCAGGAGCCCACTGTTAGAATCGGCCCTCACAGAAGTTTGCTCAGAAATCCCAGGTGCGGTGGCATCCTCCCTGATAAACATAGGCAATTCTTAGTGAAGGCTGGAAGCCTCCCTCAGAGCACCATCATCCTCTAACCCAGGGACTTCTAATTTTCACTCTGCATAGGAATCATGGTGGAACTTTGGTGAAATGAAGATTTCAGGCCCCATCACCCCAACACACACACACACACACACACACACACACACACACACACACACACAGATTCTGCTTCAGGAGGAATAGGAAGTGGCTTGAATCTGCATGTTTAACAAGCTCCCGGTGACTTCTGTTCGAGTAATCTGAGGACCACACTTGGAGAAATATTGCTCTGATCCCTATTCTGGACCCCATGCCTGACAGCTGACGTTGATGACAGGCGGCTTTTGCCCCTCCTTTCCTTACTAACCCCCACACAAGGACTAAACTCAGCTGAGTGCTCAGGACAGACAACTGGCCTCCACATCCTGTCGATGTGTATAAAAGGCCTTAAATAGTGAAAAGTAAAAATTCTTCTAAGTGTGAGGAGGTGAGGGCAGCTCATGAAGCAAGCCCTCCACCCCGCGCACTTCGCTCACACGCTCAACTGCACGGGCTGTACCGCCGCTCCTACCACAGAAGCCCAGGGCTGAGCAGCACCCCGTGCCCTGACCGCCCCCCCACAGAGGTGTCAGAGTTTGAGGGCTGAAATCACCAACTCTTCTTTGTTTTGTTTTGTTTTTTGCGATACGCGGGCCTCTCACTGCTGTGGCCTCTCCCGTTGCGGAGCACAGGCTCCGGACACGCAGGCTCAGCGGCCATGGCTCACGGGCCCAGCCGCTCCGCGACATGTGGGATCTTCCCGGACCGGGGCACGAACCCGCGTCCCCTGCATCGGCGGGTGGACTCTCAACCACTGCGCCACCAGGGAAGCCCTGAAGTCACCAACTCTTAACCCAAGCCCTTTCTTCCCACTCGGCACCGGCCCTCAGCCCTCCTGCTCACCGTAGGTCACTACCCCCGTATGTCTCCTTGGGCTTCTTCCTCCTGTCTTTCTGGAACCGTATCAGGCAGAACACAGCAACTGACAGGAAGAGCACGCCCAGCAGCACCCCGATCACAGCCCCGGCCACTCGGCCTTTGGAAGGCTCTAGGAGACACAGGATCCTCAGAGCTGCAGACCTTCCTTGGTGCCTCAGATAGCTTCATGCAGACCCCCAACCCAGGCCTGCCAGCCCAGCCTTTGCCCAGCATCCCCTACCAGTCACAGAGAGGGTCAGCTCACAGGATGCGCTGCCCATCTGGTTGGTGGCCACACAGCGGTAGGTGCCCGAGGAAGCCAGGGAGAGATTGGTGAGAATGAGCCGGCCGGACACCTCATCTAGAGGGTAAAGAGGAAGTGTTCCATCATTCATTCAACTCACAGTGAGCTATACTATGACAAAAGCATATTTCATTTCATCTTACAATAATCCTGTCAGGAAGGGACTAACCTCATTCTATTAGTGGGGAAACTGGCTCAGAGAAGGAAAGTAATTGTCCAAGGCGACCCAGAGAGGAAGTGTCAAAACCACTGCAACTTCTGTGCTCTTCCCACACTACACAGCTGCCTTTTCAGGGAAGGGGGAGACAGCACACACATGAAGGGTTCAGAAACCACAGTGGAATCGGGGTGGGGTGTCTACTGGCTGATGTCAGGTTCTTGGTTGGGGGAAAAGGGCTTGATTGCTGGAAACTGTGCCCTCTGGGTGGCTCTCAGCTGACCCAAATGCTCTTCTAAGCTGCTTCTTACCTTCCCTTTAGAAGGAAGAGCACACATTGGGAGGTGATCTGGGGGGCTCTCTGGATTGATAAAGGGACTTGCTGGGGCTGGGAGGAGAGCCAGGGCACTGGAGCCAGCATGAGGAGGCTGGGAAGCCAAGGCTCTTAGACAGTCACATGGTTCCTTGAAGAAACTGGCTAAATGATTCAAGCCAGTCCATGCTACTCTTCCTCGGCTTCCTCTCTAGGAAGTTTGGAAATGATTCATGACCCTCAAGAAATCTAAAAGGAATCCCGACCCCCAAAATAGGCAAGTGGGAATCATAGAATGCCCCTGCCTTCCACTCTCTTCCAGGATATCAGAAGTACATTTAGCTTGAGTAATGCTCCGGGGACCACGCAGCCACGGACTGTACAGGAAGACAGGAGGGAACAATAACAGAAGCCAGGGAAGAAGCAGGGGAAAGGTATAGCAGTGTGTCTCATACCTGCAAGCTTGGAACTCGTACTGTGGGCGTATGGAGTTTAGAGGTCAGATTTGCCCAGGTTCTGAGTCCCTTCTTCCTTGAAGAAGGTGGTGTGGGCCCTTACCTTGTACCATGCTGCCGGGAGGTGGTGTAGGAGAAGATCCAAGGCGGATCCAGTTGTACACTGGCCTGGGGGCTCCCTCGGAAGAGCTGCATCTCAATGCAGTAGAGCCCCCCACGGAGGTTTGACCACTCTGACTGCACGAGGGGCTATTGGGAGGCACTGCAAAAATCACAGGAAGTACCTTAGCCATCTTGTAAGCTCACCCCCATGAAGTGCTAGGTTTCCTGCTTCAATACCTCCTACCACGTAGCGGTCCACCTCTATTCACGTACCACTGCATCCCAGGGAAATGATTTCCACTATTGGAAATTCTGATTGTTAAGAAAATTCTTCTTCATGTTGAACCAAAATCTGTGTTAGTAATATCCCAGTTGGTCTCAATACCTGCCCTCTGGGCCCACAAAGAGAAATGAAAAAAACTCTCCTCCCCAGGACAGCCCTTCAGATATTTGAATGCTGCTGTCATACACCACCTCCTAAGTCTTCTCTCTTCCATCTAAACATCTCCAGCCCCTTTAATAGTTTCTTCTGTTTGCTCATCTCCAAGCAGGCTCTAGTTTGGGGTGAGATGGGTGATCTGAACACAAAGTTAGTGCTTAGTGACAGGGGCCCTTTTTCCTTTGATGGGCACTCCCCCTCTCTGCTACTGACCTAGAGAGGGACAGAAACCTAGCTACAAATGGGAGGTTCCCCCAAAGATGGAGCTGTTGGGGGCATGACTCAGATCCCTATCTGTGGGAGCGACTGAGGGAGGAGGCGTTCTTTGTGGAGGGTGGAGCAGGGGTAGGATTGGAGGACTTTGGGAAGGAGGCATTTTCCTTCGGGGTCCCCAGTGCAGTTGTGCCCTTGGGCTGGAAATCAGGATAGGGGAGGATTGAGCAGGGCCAGTGCAATCTTTCGGGTTATGTGGGTGGCTGGTGGGTCCCCAGCCTGCCTCACCCAGCACAGTGAGGTTGATTAACCCCAACCCATTGCTGTAGAAATCGGGCGGGTTGTTAACGTGACAGAGGTAGGTTCCAGTGTCCGAGGGGTGGACATCAGTCAGTTTCAGGGTGGCCACTCCTCCTGTGGGGGGGTTCTGAAGCAGGCTGGCCCTCTCTGCCTTAGAACCAGTTGGATACAGCTGGCCGTTGGTGAAGTACAGGATCTGGGGAGAAGCAGAAGACACATATGTGCTTTTTGCCACCTGGCGTCAACTCTGTAGTCTTTCTTCAACGCGGGTATTAGAAGCCCCTCCCTATGGCCGCCAGGGAAGCTGATACTCTGCAGCCAGAACCAGGGAGGTCTATCTGTCGCCAAATACCATCCCTTCCCAGGTGCTGAATGAACTAGAGTCATTGCTTTCCGCTAAGCATGCTCTCAATCTGGGGGGAGGGGAAGCAAATATTCCCGGAGGGGGCAGCATTTTTATCCTGCTTTTAATCACAACCGTTTAGCCTTGGTGGGTTTATGAACTGACACTGGAGCGGCACTAACGTACAGGGGTTGCATGGAGGAACTCGGGGAGGCGGCTGGATACACAGGGCTGTATGTGTGATATAGCCTCACGGAGACTGCGTTCCTAAGAAGATCTAGAAAGATCTTTTTCATCCAAGCATACTGATCCACAAATGCGCCCTCTCCGACCCCCTCGCCCTCATCGCTGGGTGGGTCCCCTGTTCCTGCCTCTCTTGGCCAAGCCCGCCAAAGGCAGGAGGGCCCCCCCATTCCGCGCGGGTGCCCTCAGCTCACGGGTTGGGACGAGGAGACGGGCCTCCCAGGCTGCACGAAGCTCCACTCCAGGGCGAAGTTGTCTCCCACCGACGTGCTGTAGCTGCACGTCAGCTCGGCGGTCTTGCCCACCGGCGCGCTCAGGGGCTCGGTGGGCACCTTCACCTCCACGGCCAGCCCGGGGGCTGCAGTGGCCGAAAGGCCGGCGGGAGAAGCGCTCAGGTGACGCGGCCGGGGTGCCCTTCTTCCCCTGGGGCTCAACTCCCTCCGCTCCATCCCTCCCTTCCTGAAGCCTGAGGTTTCCAGGAGGGAGGAGCCCACACACCACCGGTGGAAGGACCTGAAAGGGCCAAGACTGGGCCCGGTCTGCGGGTGTGCTTGTCGGGGAAAGGAAAACAAAAGTCGGGTGGTGGTTACACCCTCCCGAGAGGCCCAACTTGTCTGCTGGCCCAGCGGCCTCCTCTGTCCTCCACCCTCCCAGCGGCCTTCGACGTCTTCTCCCGGGCTCTGGCCCCGCCCCCTCCCACCGCCGTTCGCTGGCCCCCTCCTTACCACTCAAGCAGACCCAGCCCAGCAGGGCTCCGCAGAGGAAGGGCCCCTGGAGCCAGGCCATGGCCGCGTCCTGCCGGCTCTTGGTCCGTCTGGGTGTCTGGCTCTGGGAGAAGGTAGCGAGTGCCCACACGGCAGCCTCCTGGTGCCGGGCCCCAGCGAGACCGGCTATCTCAGAGCAAACAAGGGGAGAGGCCTGGCCCTCAGGTAAGGAAGTGCTCCTCCCTCCTCCAGGCCCCAGTACAGGAATCATTCTAGCCCTACTTCCTTCTTTTGTCCCCCTCCCCCCAATTTCTGAAGCAGTCAGGCCCTGGGGAAAGGGCTGGGCCTGGGGTGGGCACTTCAGGACAGGAGAGAGATCAGAACTGGTGCTCTGCAGGGAAAGAGTGACGCAGGAGGAAGAGGGAGGCATTCTGATAACCTGGGAGCTGGCAAATGACGTCACCACTTTGGGGTCTCACACTGTGAGCTCGAGCCCCAGGCCAGGGCCCTACCACCCTCTTCAGAGTCTTGCTCCTTCTGAGCCCCTCAGCCCCTCTTCCAGTTACTCCTCTGAGATCCCTTCTTTGGCACCTTTGTCACCACTTGCTGAGGCAGGAGTCTCCGTGGAAACTACAAGCCCTCCCCCCTCCCAGAGCCGCCCCATTTCACGGGCAGAGAAACTGAGGTCTGGAGGAGCCCCTACCCTTGGTAGGAAAAGGTGTGGCAGGACTGGGGTGGACACACCGCCACCACATCCTGTGCCTGGCTCCCCCCCAGTATGAGGGGGGTCACTGCTGGACGGGCAAAAAGACAGGTAAGGATTCAGTGGTCTGGGAGAGGAGCAGAAGCCAGGTTCTTCTCCTCTGCTCTTGAGGAGGAAACAGGAGATAAGCGCACGCACACCTGAGCTGTGAGTGCTGAAGCTCCCGCAGAGAGTCACCAATTTTATCCCCTTGCTGCTCAGAGTGAGTGAGGGTCTCCCAGCCCCAAGCTCTTTGTGCCTCTCCACCACTGCCTGACAGCAAATGACCCTTTTAAAGACTCTAGAAGAGCTATCCCGAGCCAGCAAGCCAAGCTGGAGGCTGTGCGGAGAAGCCCTTCTGGGTCCACCGCCTGGGCAGGGTCCTTTTTGCATCATCCTGAGACTCAGCTTCTCCTGGGAATTCCAAGCTTGAAAAGGTGATTTGACTCTCACTTTCCACACAAACACAATGTATCTTTATTGAAGTTTGCAAAATCAAAACAGAACCATGCATTTCAAGTTAGTATAAAAAATATCTTCCTTATCCCCTGCCCCAACAAAACCCAACCAAACCAGCAGGACAGGTTATATTAACGCTGGGAGCTGGAGGGGGAGTGAAGGATGAGGTTAGGTGGGACGGGGTACAGACCAAGGGGGCCTGGAGGACTGGTTGACTGGCGGTCCCTACCAGGCCCTGGGGGATGAGGGTGAGAGGCAGAGGTAGCAATCTCAGCAGCATCCCACTGCAGTCTTACAGAGAGCCCAGGGCGGGGGCCTTCCTAATCCTAGGTCCACGTCCTCTTCTTCTGCCTCCTCGAAGTTTGGGTCTTAACTGAGACTCAGTTTGCCCATAGTAAAGAAAGGTGGGGGCAGAGGACCAGAGGTCTGGAAGGCGGCCACCCTCCCAAGGCTCAGGCCTCTGTGCTAGGGGTGACCCCTGTAGGAAGGAGAAGCCGGACGCCCAGCCAGCGAGTGGCTGGGCCATCACACCAGAGACCCAGCCTGACTCCGGGCGGGAACCATCACAGGGACAGCGCCCATGCGGCTCAGAGCAGAGGAAGAGACCCCCCCAGCGCTGGGGGATATTGGCTGAGGGCGGGCCCCATCTGTTCTGGGCAGCCTTGGTGAGGGCAGGACCTGACTGGAGAGGCTGGGTGTGGGGCTCAATGCACCAGGCCTGGGAGGGCCTTGGGGGGGCCGAAGGGCTCGTGCCGAGGTAACAGAGGAGAGGGTCCCATTCTTGGAGATTGTGTCTGAGCCCTTGGGCCAGGGCAGGGTCCTGGGAGCGATGGCGTCCTCCCTAGTCATCAAAGAAGCGATAAGAGGTCAGAAGCCGGAAGGGGGAAGGGGGAGAGTTCCCACGTGCTTTGTCTTACTCTCGCCTCCCCTCTTCTTCAACTCTCCTTAAAATCTGCCCACAGGAAGGATGGTTCAGCCACCGCCCAACCTCATCCGTTAGATGAGAGCTGCCCGAATTCCCAAGGAGAGCCCTCATCTTGGCACAGACCAGGGACACTTACTTGATATCGTTGGCCGGCTCCTCTAGGGCCTTGCCCCGGCGTTGGTACAACAAGACCAGCCCAACCAGGAGCCCCAGTCCAACCACGGTGCCTACGACAGCTCCGGCAACCACCGTAGCCTCAGGCCCTGGAAAAACCTTGCCGTCAGAGGGGGACTCTCAGCTTATTCCCTGGCCCTTTCCAACCCCACTGCCCCACTGCCCTACCACCACCATACACATTTTCTCTCTTTGTTAAGAAGAAGGTGACTGTCAAGAAGAAAGTGGTCACTGACCAAGCACCTGCATGAACAGTTGACCAAGACAAGCTCCTTGTCCTGTTATAATGAAAGGCCTCCTCCCCTCTCTTGCAAACCCACCCCACCCCCCCATTGACCAATCTTCTCCCTAACCACACTTACCCCTCACTGACCTGTGCTCACTTTCAGGGTCACATTGCACTGGGCACTGCCCACCTCATTGTGGGCCTTGCAGATATACACTCCAGACATGGAAGTAGAAAGGTTTTTGAGGTTTAAAGACCCATGGATGGCATCTGTGGACACAATTTAGCCGTCAGTCCAGGGATCCTCTTTCCCATAAAAAACATCCTGCGCCTCCTCTGGAATGTCCTCTTTGACTCCCTGGGACAGACTCCCTGGCTATCCGTTCCCTGAGGGAAGGGAGAGGTGTGACAGCCAGTGTGCTGGGTTCTGCTCCCAGTTGCCTAACTGCTGGCTCAATACCCCTCTCCATTTCCACCACTCAGTGTCCCCAAGTGATATCTGAAAGGAGGCTAAAGAGGAAATGATGCCCAGAAAAACCAAAATCCAATTTTTACTTTTATTTCTGAATGGCGGAGAGTGAGAGAGAAAGGACATTGAGTGAGGAATTAGAAAACCTAGGATCCAGAATTGACCAGTCTTCTCCTTGGGAAGACTGGTCAATTGACTTTAAGAAAGTGACCTGCTATCTCTGGGTCCCAATTTCTTCATCTGTAAAATGGGGGTAATACGACCTACTTGATTGTGTTGAAAGGAATATATGAAGTAATCTAATGATTTTAACAGTTAAAGTTTATTGGCTGCTTACTCTGCCCCAGAGACTTAAGTTCTTTACATGTACTAACTTAGAAAAGTTTCACAACAAACCTATGAGATAAGCTCTATGTAAAAATAATTTTAAAACTTTTATTATAAAAATGGTCAAATGAAAAGTAGAAAGAGGGACGAAATAAAAATCCATATACCCACAACCTAGATTCAACAGTTGCTAACATTTTGCTATACTTCTTTCATTTCTCTTTCTTCTGAGACATTTTAAAGTAAATACTTCAGCATGAAACTCCAAAAATAAGGAAGGACAGTATCCTACATAACCACAAGACCATTACCACACCTGATAAATTAAGACTAATTCTCCAAGAGCATCTAGTACTCCATTTTAAAATTGTTCCATCGATTATCTCAAATTGAAAAAAAAAAGTTCCAATTGCCCCCAAATGTTTTTTATAGCTGGTGTGTTCAAATCAGGGCTATTGATACCCCATTTTACAGATGAGGAAACAGAGTCACAAAGTCACACACCTAGTGAATGCAGATCTTCTAGCCCCAGCGCCTCTTGAGTAACCTAAGTCTGCAGCACGTGCCGACACCTGGCAGGGCCTCTTTCTCCAGCCCCTCCCCCGCCCCCCCCCCACCCCCGCCAGTGCTTTTCAGCATTGACTCCCCTGGCACCCCGGCCCCTCTGGTACGTCATCTTTCCTCTACCCCAGCCGCACCCTCAGTGTCTCCGGAAGTTCCCTCACCTAAAACAGGTGCAAAGAAGACCTGGGAGGATGGGGGCGACCGCACCCACTGGTATTGGGCAGCGGGCTTACTCCTTGGGGACTGGCAGCTCAAGGTCACGTTGGTCCCCACGTGGGGCACGCCCCGGAGGCGGCAGGATGGAGGAGCTGGAGGAACTGGGGGAGGGGAGACAGGTTAAAAACTCACATCCGGGGGCCAGCGGCTCCCCTCCCCCGCTCCCACACACGGACCCCCGTCACTCTGTTTGCCCCTCCCCCAACCTTCACACTCAGTCGCTTGGGGGAGAGACCTGCCCGACCTCCCACGGGTGCCTCTCACTTACCCAGCACATTGAGTTCTAAAGTCTTGCTGCTGTGACCTCGAACAGTGCCTTGACTGTCTTGCAAGTTCACAGAACAGAGGTAGGGTCCGGAGTCTTTCTCCTGGAGGTCCTGCAGCCGCAGTGACACATTCCGGGAGGGCATGGGGTAGACCAGGGATGCTCCAGGTTTGCTTGATGTGACCCCACTGATGTGCGCCAACACCTGGTGGGCGGGCGTCACACCTCCCCATTATTACTTGTCTGCTCTGTGCCCAGGGCTCAGCTAGTCCCCCTCCCCCAAACTGGGGGTCTTCAAATGCCCCTCACCTGCACCACGCCCTCTAACCTCTACCAGTTCTCCATTCACCCCTGTCTCTCTAGCTACCGTCTCACCAACCCGGGTGCTCTGCACCAGAACAGGTCCTGTTCCCCTGGGCGCTGTCTCTTCATCTCCCACTTGGGGTGTTTAGAAAGTGGTAAAATGGTTGAGGGATAATGTAAATAGGGGGTAATGTATGAAAGAAACTTAGACTGCAGGGGTAGAGCCAAGAGAAAAAATATCCTTTTAATTTTTCTTGAAGATCCCCACCCCCCCCCCAGTGTATAAGCCCATGCCCTACCCCTGCAATCTAAGTTTCTTTCATACATACCCCCTACTTATCAAATGACCTCCTGAACACACTTTCTAGGACCTTGCAAGGAGTCCGGCAAATAACCAGCTCTGAAAATGACGTTTCCTTGGCTTCTGGGTAAATTTGCCTCTGAGTCGTCGTCTGATGTCAGGAAGGAAGATAGGTGAGAGATTGTAGGAGGACATGTACCCTTGGCTCTCAAGGAGGTTATATGGGAGCCGCGGGACAGATAATCATTTGGAAAGAGAAGCGGCCTGTGACAATGTCCAAAGCACAGATAATGTGAAAGCAGGAAGATGCTCAACTTTTAAAAGTTGTGTGATACATGCTCTAACCCTTCCTGTTTCCTATACCCTCAATCCTCACTTTCCCCCTTGCCCGGCAAAGTAAATTGCTTCTCCACTTGTCAGTGTTTGGTGTGCTCGAGTTCTAGGGAAACCTGGGAAAAGGAGAATTCTTTGGGGAAGCCTCCAATATCAAAACAAAAATTGAACCGGTGAGGTGGACCTTGCTTTTCCCTGACACTCCTTCGAGTCAGCCATCCCCTGGCCACCCCTCCCACCGTTGCCCGCTCTTCCCTGCTCCCCACCCCGCCCCCGGCCCCGCCCCACCTCCGGCGTAGCGAGCCTCCGGCCGAGACGATTTCCCTCACCTGGCTCATATTCATATTCTTCCCTTCCAGTAAGAACCATATCACGGTGGGCACCTCCCAAGGCTTGGGCTTGGTCGAAGCTTGGTCCCCTTGCAGGGTGTACCACGCCGG